ATACTAACTACTATATAAGATTTTTAGCTCGGGAGACTGAAATTCTACTTTTCCCCCCACTGTTGAGTAGTGTAATAATTATGTAATACTAACTACTATATAAGATTTTTAGCTTGGGAGACTGAAATTCTACTTTTTCCTCCACTTATTACAAAGTTTTACTTGGTATATCTTTAAATGTATCTCAAAGTCAATGCCAAACAGAACAAGAGGTTAATCCTTGTCTTAATTTGTTCTTGAAATCACCACACAGTCTACACTTGAAGTTGTACATAATCTCCAAAGTGCAAAACACATTTCTGACCGTTCTCATTTTTCTTTCATCCTAATAAGGTTACTTACATGCAAGGATTAATTATTGATAACAATAAACAAATTATAAATTTACAGTCACCAACACAGATTAAGGTCAATATGAACTATGCAACTTCAAAGGAAAACAGGTGTAGAGATCAATAGATTCTTGTAACTGATGAAGCATAATAGAATCACCAGTAGGTCTTATATTTTTGATGGACCCCCAATGTATCTGATAAGAATTTGGTTCAAAAACAATTCACAGATTCACAACAAAATAACTAGTTGATAAAAAAGTGGTTTCTGATTACTTTCAATTGAAAAAATGAAAGAAACACAAGGATAAGTGGGTATTCGAGTGACACACTGCACTCTGTGTAACAAAAGCTCGTCTAAATTCACAATGCTCAAGAAATGATCAATGCCCCGCACTGACTCCCAGACTCACGTTTTATTCTCCCTGCCCCTAGGCCCTAACCAACTAAGTTCTAACAAACAAACTGCTAACTCCTCTATTCCCCAATCCCAGTGCAACTTCTAGACCTCTCCAAAATCGCAGCAACCAAACTGCGCCTCCTCACTTACGAACTCAACATTCGTGCTGTCACCAAAGCTTCTACGCTCTGCACCAATTCCTTCCCCAATCTTTTCCTAGCCTGCTTTTGCCTGATGTAAGTAAAACGCAGGGGAGGCTTATCGGCAACAAAAATAGCACTTCAAGTAAGGACTAAGGGGAAAACAGAACCTTCAAGCTTAAAAGAGATCATACCAACATTTTCACCTTATTCTATCACATTTTTGAATTCTAAAAAAGTTTCTCTCCCTAGTATAAACAAGTAACTCTGATCAAAGAATTCTAAAGAACGGAGCTAAATTCGGACTCGAAAAGTGGGTCTGGGGGATTTCTGGGTATAAAAAAAAAAGGAGCTAAATTCAGCAAATAAACAGAATCATACTTTGCAAAGGATTTCAAAAAAAAAAAAATTGAATACTCTACCACTGTCGCATAAAAGGGAATCTTGTGAGGCAATTGTTCAGCACACTGAAGAAGGAGCTGTCACAACGAACAAACACAGTAAAAACCAAAATGAGATCAACAAATTCGCAGATATAACTATTCTTTGATACCAAAAATACAAAATTGAATCCGAAAACAAAGTAATTACGGGCAAAATGTCATTAGAAGAGGGCTCGAGCTCTCGCCGAAGCACGCCATAGCATGTTTCCTGCAAATTTTGAATATTGCAAGTAGTGTTTCAAGCTCTGGAACAAAACAAGTAGGGAATTTGAACGAGAAAGATGACAAATACAACTATATATACATATATATATATAGAGAGAGAGGTACGGACAACATGGTCTTTGAAGTCGGAGGAGGGGCCGTACTCTGGGCATTTGTCGCCGATTCGAAGAAGAAGAGTCTTCCAAGAGCTCATTTTTTCGTGGTATTTCTCTCAGAGAGAGGAACAAACAAACAATGGAGGGTTTTTGGTGAGAGGAGAGAGAAACGAGATTCAAGAGAGGGAAGGGATTTGCGGGGTTTAGCGCTGACTGACTTGAACCCTAACCCAGTTCTGGACAAGCCCGCCCGATTTTCTAACGGGGTTTTACTGCAATTTGCAAATGATGAATTGCATTTTGAGTCCCAACATTTTCGGATTGGTCCTTTTATAGTAAACTCAGAGGTTATTTGGTTGGGGGATTCATTTCTCGATTTGAATTATAGTTCGTGATTTATTATAATATTTTCTCTCATAAAAAATACACATAAATAAAAAATTATTCTAATTATATAGTTTTAATCCATAAACTAAACGTCTCATCAGACTTAAAAAAAAGACAAAAAATCATAAAATTATTATGGGCTCATTCAGTTTATTAATTTAAAATTTTAATTTAAATTAAGATGTAATTTTATGTGAGAGTTTTTTACTGTAATAAAAAAATTAAATGTGATTGTTTATAAAAATTTTTTATTATAGTAAAATTTAAAATTTAAATTCAAATCGGTAAAATAAAATGGAGCTAGGAAGAGTGATTTTTCACTGTTCACACAATCACAAAATACTATTCATTATACAGTTAATGAACACTGCATAGACGGTTTTGCTCTTTTTGTTTTCTTTTCCTCCGTTTTTGGGCAGAGGGTTTTTGGTCTTTTCTGGGCCTACAGTGTGTTGTATGTGCATATGGAGCTCTCTATTCCTTTCTCGATACTTCCCTATGCACGTACAATACGTGCCCCTGAAATCCTCTCTCTCTCTCCCCTCCGGCGAGCGCAGACGCAGAGACAAAGGTCTCCGCCTCTATCGTGGTGGCTTCTCCGGACTCCAAAACTCGCTTTCTTCCTCTGAAAGTCCTTCAGTAATTTGGTGTCCTTTTGCTTTGTGTTGTTTGGCTTTTTTTTTTCTTTTCCTGTTTTGATCTTCATCTCATCCATCTCTTCTTCTTGCTTTTGCTTGGAGTTTCTGGTGTGGGTTTTGTGCTTATTTCATGTCTATGAAACCTTACTTTTGCTTTATTTCTTAGTTTGGATCTTCTCCGCGACTTTGGTGGTTTTTTTTTCCCTTTTCCTGTTTTGCTGTTGATTTCATATATTTTCTTTCCTTAGTTTTGATTGGGGTTTAATTCTGGTGTGGGTTTTGTGGTCATTAAATAGCCGTGGAACACTATGTTTGCTTTCTTTCTCGGCTTTTGCCTTCTGAGTTGCTTTTTTCCCCTCTTTTTTCGCAGGTGCTTTGACTTATCTCTTTTGGTTGGTTTTGGTTGGAATCCTGCATCTGTCCTTTGGGGTTTATGCTTCATTTTTCTTCTGCGTTTGATCTTCGTGTCTCAAATTTTTTCTTTGTTGTACATTTTTTGTTATGCATTTTGCGTATTTTTCAGGACAATATGCTAGAATGACTATTCAATAAAGTGAAATTAGTAAAATGAACTCTTTTTATTTTTTTTATGAAGAAAGAATAAAAATTTTTAAAAAATTATTTTACTAATAAAACTTTTCAAAAGAATTATTTTTACAAAGCCTCGTATTTTTCATGGGTTACATCATTTGCCCTTAACTTTTATTGTTTATTTATTTATTTATTTTTTATGTTTTTGCTCTTACTTTATCAACTACTATTTTTTTTTAGTAATACAAATGTTATTTTATTGAATTTTTTTTTGGGATACTTGACCTTTTCTTTTGATGGATTTGTTTGTGCAAGGATTTTATTTGCATGAGTGAATTTTCCCTTGGTTCGTTTGATGCTGTATATCGGTAATTCTTGGTTTTATCTGTTTCATTTATTGCCTTGATGAGCTGGGTTATTTGTATTGGTCATCTGATATCCTAGGTTGATGATTTGTTCTACTTTTGTTATAGATATATTAAATGAGCTGTTGATTTTTCTTATATTATCTGGAATTCCTGGTAATTTTAAGGGAAACAATTTTCTTGAACTTTTCCTATCTCTAGCACCATTAGTATTTAATAATTTTATATCTGAAATTGTATTTGTTTCTGAGTTTGATATGATCTGTCCAAATATTGCTGTGAATATATCATCTTAATTCTATTCTATTTTTGTCCATTGTTTTTTATTCAAAACTTTTAAGTTCTTTTTTTTTCTTTTGTTTTTCCTTACTTTCATGTCTTTATCCTCTTATGACCAATATTTAATCAAGAAGTTATTTACATATATATTAGTTTTTTTTTTCAATATTAAATTCCGGTTTTTTCAACTACTTCTGTTGGCCATGATATTTTCTAATGGTTTTAAATTATTTTCAATCCCAGGTGTTTACACTTACACTGTGTAAATAGAACTTCATTTACTTATATAAAATGTTGTTTTTTGTTGTTTTTTTTTTTTATCTATCTTGTATTTTAAGTTTAGTTATTTAACTATAGTTATTTACTTATCCTAAAGGCTCATGTTATTTTATCAGTTTTCTTTTTTTTATCCCTTTTTTCCTCCTTTTTTCATGTTCCCCAGCAAGCAATTTTGGATTTTTTAAAACTTTAAAGTCTACTTATAATATTCTAAGCTTGATTTACCATTCTTTTCTCTTGTGGCAATTTAACTTCTAGGCCTTACTTCTTTCCCAGTTTCCTTATGTTTTCTGTTTCGTCCACCCTTTTCTTCAGCTTTTTTTCGCTCCTTTTTCTTTGATTTGGTCTATTTTTCCGTATTTATTTTTATTCACCTGGTAGTTGCTGGACGGATCTATATCTTATTCTGGTCTGTTTATTTTTTTTTCTTGAGTGGGATACAAGCTATAACCCGTGTGATGAATATAACATCTTATTAATTTTTGTGCCTTTATGCAGTTGCCCATAGTAAGCAGCCATAAAATGGCAATGAATATATAAGTTTGTTTATTCATCCCACGTTAGGATTGGTTGTTTATGTTGTCTCATATTTTTTCCTATATGCTTATGCTATTCTACTGATATATATTGCTGGCGTGGAAAGTTGACAAGAATTTATTCTTATTCTTACGAAATATTAGTCATTTGTTTCTATTTCATGTTTTGCTTCATAAATAAGTACTGTTCGCAGTTTGATTTTTTTTTTATCCCTTCTTCTATTTCATCTTTTGTTACGTTTTTTGTTCTTATTTTACCACTGTATGTTTTTATCGCTGTATCTTGCATCAATATTTGTACTTGGTTAGTCTATATATGGCATTTGGAGTATTTGCAGTGTGAGATATTATTAAGAATTTTCTTCCGTGCATTTATAATAATGGTTGCTGATACTCAACGTACTGATTTGTTCTATTAGTGTTCGTATTTGTTGTTTATGTTCTTTTATATGTTGACATAAAATTTTGTTATATTATTGATGAACATTGCTAATTTAAAAACTTCTGAAACATTCTTTCCTATTCTTAACAAATAATAGCGACCTATATCTATTTTTCCCTTTGCTTCATAAATAAATGGCCATGATCTATCAATGTTTTTTTTTTTTTTTTAAACTTCTTCAACCACACATGCATACGAATATTGGCAATGATCATCATTATTGATTTATATATGTTAAACATTATATGATTTATCTAAAAACTGTTATGGCCATCTGATTCCTATTTCAATATTTACCTTGTTTATTTTTTTTAATTTTTTTTTCTCGTGTTCTTAAAGTTCTGGCCTACTTTGACTCTTTATTTATTTGAATATTTTTATCTTTTGTACGCCATCTGTTTGCTTAAAAAACTGGAATTATTAATATCGTGCTATTACATATGCTAAAGGAACTATACACATACATATCTCTGTTTGGTATATTCTATTTTGAAACGTTGTTTTCATATAGCAATAATGGTCGTACTCAATATTGTAAAATACCAATTTCTTAGCTATTGCTTGGTATTCTTATAAAATCACTG